ACCCACCCCCTACCTTTAATCCTTACCTCGACCCTTTCCCTTCCCCCATCGTGCCACCAGTCAAACCCTAATCCACGAAATCACTCCCTAGCTCCAACAAAAAACCCAATTTTTTGTACTTTTCACTCCTCCAACCTGGTCGATTCTTCTCGTGAGTGGGTTTTGGTGTGGTTGAAAGGGTTTCGGGGGTTGTAGGTAGATTTTCAGGAGTGGTGGTTAGTTGTAGAGGTTGTGGGTGGTTTTCAATTGTTGTGGTGGGGGTTGTGGATGGATTTTCGGGAGTGGTAGTGATTTTCAAGGGTCATGGCTAAGGTGAGGGGCGGCGCCGGCGCAAAGGAAGGGGAGTTTGGGCGCCGACGGTAGGGTGGAAGGCAAGCTGGGGGCGGTGTGGGGGGCGGTGTGGGGGGCGGGGAGGATGGCTGACTGGCTGGGCTTGGGGTGGTGGGATTTTTTTAAGTTTTTTTAATTAATCATTTTTTTGATTAATTAATTAATTTAAATAAGAATCACTCAAATGCTGCCACATGTCACAGTAACGTTAATAACTAACAGAACTAACAGAAAATGGCATGTTGTGACATTTATGTTAAACTCAGTAATACATGGTGAATTAGAAAGTTTTTGGTGGTATACAGTGAATTAAGTTAAAACTCAGTGGTATATGGTGAAGAAACCGATTAAAAAAGCGTTCTAAAACATAATATGTGTCACGTGTCACCCTTTTAAGCTCTATAAAGGTTTCAAGTCATCAATATATGCCACATGTCACCCCTTTAACATTATAAACATGCCACGTCACCTCCACTTCTATATTAAAAAGCGTTCCTAAAACAGAATATGTGTCACGTGTCACACTTTTAAGCTCTATAAACGTGTCAAGTCATCAATATATGCCACATGTCACTTCTTTAAGACTATAAACATGCCACATCACACCTCCAAAAAATGAATTAGATTTGACATCTGAAAGATGCTTATAGCAAGACTTGAACTCGAGACTAACAAGTATTACGGTACAAGTCTTACCACTTTAGCTATGTGAATTTACTCAACAAAATTATAGTTAACTTAAATAAGATGATTACTCCTTAATTGTACTATTTGTTACATATCATAGGATAATTTAACAACTTTAATTTTGAAGTTGAAAAATTGCATTTTTTTCGATTTGTTGAAAAATAAGAATTTTTTGTTAAATAGTCAATAGTTAAATATCTTGAATCATACTGAGTAACATACAAAATAATGAGTATGGTTCTCCTAATACTAATCTTTTTTTCAAAATATTAAATTTTCAAGATGATTATCAACACATTAAGCAAAAATAATCGAACGGTAATTACGAACGAGCAACTCAGGGCCACACATTAGTTATGTAGTGAAATATTTGTTTGAAACAAATTTAGTATTACAAAACTATGGGAGTGTGTATATTAGGTTACATACCCTCAATTCCTCAAATTTTACCTCAAGATCCCAAGTAAGCTTGATTAGTTTTTCATAATTGTCATCTTTAAATAAATAATTTGCATGTTTATGCACAGGTCATATGCACATAAATATATTCTCATCCCCAAAACCACCAACCTTCTTCACGTGGATGCATTGTGCAAACTCACACATATGCTTTAAATTGTGTTTGACCTAAATTAATTTGGTACTTATCCTATCAATTAAGGGAGAATTAAAGGAGTTTCTCAAAAAAAAAAAAAAAAAAAAAAAAAAAAAAGGAGGTATGGAGCTCACGAAGTTGTTTTCTTACTGAGGTAAACAATGATTAAATTAATGATGTTTGTCAATGGAGTCGAATATTCGGTTAATGACGAATATATTTTATTCTTGTTTTTTACAAGTTATTTCCACCTAACATATTTTCATGGAGATTAACTATGTGTGGTGCCATGGCATGTATTTTGTGGTGCCATGGCATGTATTTTCAACGTAGTTTGATTTATGGTTTTAATTTCATAATTTGACCAATAAGTTTGGCAATGTATAGATCATTGAATATATTTCATAATTTATTTAATTTGGGTAAATGAAAATAGTGCCATAGGTGTCGGTTGTGACTAAGAAATCATACATGATTTAAAATTACTCGTGGTCACTTTATACGCATAATTGTCTATTATGTACACATCGAATGTATATATAAAGATCAAAGTTGTTTTATTGCCCAAATGACAGTTTATTGACCAAACTTGTTATGTGACAATTAAAACAAGATTCACATTTGCGCCAAAAAAAAAAAAAAAAAGAAGAAAAGAAAAGAAAGATAAAATTCACTAATTTTGAGGTGATATCTTAATAGGGCTCTACAATTAAAACCCGTAGTCATATATATATGACTTTTTCAATTAACAATAAGGATACTAAGGATTAAATCAGCTCGTTAATCAATATGTCAAATCAAAGTAGAACAACTAAAATAACAAAAGAATTTGTACTGTTTATTTATGCTGATTTCAACTGAATTAAACTAAACTAAATATCTTAATTCTAAAATGGGCATATGCCAACCTTGGGATCTTTAAGAAAGACAATATACAGGTTTACTAGTATCACTTTATCACACTACCTTCGAATCAAAATACCTACCGCATTAAGGCCATTTAGCCATCTTTTTAATGTTCCAGTGATCCCGCATTATTCCCACATGCCCTCCCACTTATCCCTTCTTCACACCCACGTATTCCTTCCAAAGCCAGCACTCCAGCCCCTCCTCCTTCCCCATTTGCCCAATTACCATTTTTTGTCAACCATTTCTCGTCGCCAAATGTCAACCCGTCATTGATCGACAATGCTCGCCTCCTAAATAATTGATGTTTAAGCTGTCCTCCCAATAAGCCACACTTGTTACAATCTCTCAAGTTGGTTGCGATGAGAATTGAACGATGACAACCCCTAACTTCATGGTTGAGAGGTGATTAGATGAAAGCCAGTTAATCATTGATCTTTCAACATCACAACCTCCCACTTTATTTAGCTTTTAGTATATATATTTTTTGGTTCATATGAGCCACTGGGGCAGGGGATGAGAATCGATCGCAGGATCACCTGAAATCCTGGAGGAAAGCTCTTGCCAACTGAGCTATCCCTCACCCTCAGTTTTTAGTATATATATATAGTAGTTCATATTACTCGTGTAATCTAGATTTATATTACAATATCAATGTGTAAACGTAACTAGTATTCATAACCTATCTATTTACTTAACAAAAAACCAGTGTGCATGACTACATGATCTACATATATCATTAGTGTAAAATTACTTCATAACACATGAGGTAATGTGTAATTTATACTCCATAAGCCATACTACTAATTGAATCAAGATTATTTACATCCCTTTATATCTATTTTATGTTTCTAAAAAAAAAAAAAATATCCCTTTAAATTCAATTAAATTATTTATATTTTACTCCGTATTAGATAGTTTTCCACATTTTTTTTAACAAGATTTTTCCATAATTTTTGTAGGGTGGTCAATGAATTTTAAATAATTTTTTTTTTTTTTTTTTTTGACGGGAATTGTTGTTATTATATACTCAGTAGATTGAAGAAAGAATGAAATATGTACGCTTGTATTGAGTGTCGGCGTTGAGAAATGAAGATCTAGGAGCATGCTGTTTTGTATTGTCACTGTTAGTAACAAGACAAAACACACAAGGCTAGCATCCTAACATTTAGTGCCCTAATAATTATAATATCTTGTAACGTAATAACGTATACGTATTAGTTTGGTGAATTATATAATAAAGTCATTAATTGGGGTCTTGAGGGATAATTTATAACTCTAGTATTCAATATTTGAGCAATTATGATGAAGTAAAGGAAAATTAATTTATTATTATGTTTCAACAAATTTAAGTTTGTGATGGAGAAGTAGCGAATCTTAAATTAGATGAAGGATAAAGCAAACGATAAAAGGGGTAATGAAGTTGAAATATAATATGTCCTATGTTCATATAAAATGTGGTAAGTAGTTATTTTTGTCATATTGATATTGACTCACTCTACAAATTAGATCATGGACACATGTGTACGATACTCAAAGTTGATAAAGAAAAAAAAAAAAAACGAGAGAGACTATAATATGCTAAAATCTAACACTGATGATATAAAAGAAAAATTATCTCGGTGTGTTAATTTGTCTAAACAGTCACTGTTCCATCTATCTATATATATTTTTTTTAAAGAGTTCCATCTATTTATTTAATCCAATTACAAATTATAAAAATTGAATCGTTGAATTAAGATTTGATACACTAATGTATTGAGTATAGTCATGCATGAAATTCCTTAACATTCAGAAATTCTAAGAGATTTCTCACTTAAATGTTTTTTTCCGTATTCTTTTTGACATTTAAAACAAGTAAACACTTAATTAATATATTTTTTATTTTCCAATATTGTAAATTCTAAAACTCAGATACTTTGCAATTTTAATACCATGTACGAAAAATTCAATAATATATACAAAATAATTATTTATTTTATAGTAATACTAATTCACTAAAATGATGTCAAATAACAACAACACAAAAAATGAACTTATTGCCTTATTGGTATGTGAATCTTGCAAAAGTCAAGATTTTTTTCTTCTCATATTACATTGAATATAAACACAATCAAAGACTAGCATTGAGCCATTGATATTCAAAGTGTAATAAAGATTAAATAGTGACGAAAGGAGTATGAAATAAGAATTAATCTACAATAGTAAGTTGTTTAATTAGTTAAAAACTTAAAATTAATGTAAGTCATTATACTCCCTCCTTTCCAGAATATTTGACACAGTCAACATTGTACACATGTCAATGCATCAATTTGACTTTATTTTTATAATTAGATATTAATGAAAATTATTTTAAAAATTATATTATGAAACTTTATATTAATACCTATCTAACAACATATTTTATGATAAAATATATTTTTATTATGTTAGTAAAATATTATAATCAAAGTAGTACATAAACAGTGGAAAAAAGTCTAACGTCTCAGATATTCTTGAACGGAGGGAGTAATAATTTAAGTTCATTAAAATCTAGATGAAGAAAACAAGTCCAAGGGTTAAAACAATACTTAAATCCACTGGGCTCACCTAAGTTTCCACTTTCAAAGCCCAAAATACATAAAAGGCCATAAGCCCATAAAAACTTAAAATTTCGAAAGAAACCGCCATAAAACAATCCGACGCCAAAATTCACTAATTTTCAGCCTCTCTCCTACTCCCGCCATACTCCTCATTTTTCAACTTTTCCCCTTTTTTTCTCTCTCCTCACTTCGATTCTTCGTTCCCTTTTCACCGCTGCCAATTTCTTACTTCTCTCTAAATTTCTGCTTCAATTTCAAGGTATGATGTTCTTATTTATCTGTTTCTTTAATTCTTTCTCCCATTTTCTCTATCTCTGTATTAGATTAGATGGTTTTTTTTTCCTATTTATCGCTTTAATTAAGAATTTTTTTGTTGGAAATTGAATTTCTGGGTTTAATCTTGTGGAATTTAATAAAATCTTTGTTGAAATTGATAGTTCGATTGAAAGTGTTAGTGAGTATATATATATTAGTATTTCAGAGATTGAGATTTTTTTTTTTTTTTTTTCTATTGAGAATCGTAATTTTTGATTCTGACGATTGTTTGGTTTGCGAAATCGTCAGTTGTGGAAACCCTAATTTTGTTGCTGTTTCGCAACTATTGGTATTTGTAAAATGTGAAATGCGAAATTTTGGTTGTTTTTGTTGTATTTAGTATTAGAGGCAATCGAATTACACTACATACATACTAGAAGTATTAATGATTGGGTAGTGAAGAACTAAAATTAGGGTTTTGATTGCGTAATTCGTCGTGCTTTTTTGTTGTTTTGACTGTATACAATGGTATATTTAGCTCGGAATTTGTGTTGAAGGATGTTTAAGGTGTTCTTAGAAGCAATTTTTAGCGCATCGTTTTTCATCACTCTAGATTGTAGAAATCGACATACAAATGTAATACTAACAGGTTTGATTGAAGAAGTCGTATGCAATTAAACTATATCAACGAAACTGATTTGATTTTGTGAAAATGTGCCAACTTTGTATAATATGGTATGCCCTGATAAAGTGATAATTATGTATAGGAACTAAATGATCTTAGTTTCAGTCATCAGGAAATTGAAGTTGAGATGAAGTCCTCCAAACAGCCGAAAGAGAAGGCGGAACAGGTTGCTATACAAGGAAGCATCAGCAAGAGTCCCACAGGAAAAAGAAGAGGTAGTTTTGTTTTTTCTTTGACATAGTTTTTTCATGAAATTGATTCCTAGGAAGTAGAATGTAGATTATGTTACTATGTTAGGTCCCATTAATTTCATCTTAGAACATAAAATATACTACTAATTAGCCTTTTGTAGGGTGAAATTCATTTGTATACTTAAACTTGAAGGTTAGGCTCTTGATTAAGTGTGGAATAACATCCTTAATTAGTACAAAATATCATTTTTGTTTCGGGTTCAAGCATTATTGATTTATATAATTTGTGTTTTTTTGAGTCTATATTTCTGTTGAATATCTGTAAGCAGTAGTATTTTGAAGTTTCTATCTATTTCTTCTGTTTATTGACTTTTTTTCTTTCTGTGTTTTAGTTGGAAAGGATGTACGCTCCACAGTTTGTAGAGTTCTCCCGCAACATGGTGACTGCAATGCGGTTAATGGCCCTATTCTAGGAACAGTTAACCCAGTGTCTTCAGACATCCAGCCAGCAAATGAAATAATGCTACAACCTCCAAAAATTGTACTGCAGCTTTTCCCAATCAATGACAGAATTCGGGTGGGATTGGAAAAGGTGAATACTGCAAGTTATAGTAGCTTCTTTTGTTGGTTTCCCCTTTTAATACGGCATCTAATTTTTTGTTTTTTTTATGAGTTTTAGGATGGCCATAATCCATTTTTGGAGCTAACTCTCAGTGCAAGGAAGAAAATATCCTCTGTGCTGAAACACCTTTTCAAAAAATGGGGCTGTTCTAGCATTGCAATGGGCGAGCTGATGCTATTTCCCTTCAACGTTTCACCAGAAAATTTGACTAGTTGTACAAGGTGGACTTCAAATGACACTGGCGTTAGTGCAGGATATGTTCATGCTTTGCTTGGGAGCCCAGAAATTTTCCGCTTAAGGTAATTGTTCTTTTCTTGTGTATTATGTAACAACCTAGCTCAGCTTTCTGACTTTTGCCACTATTGAAGGTATGGCTGGGTTTCCTTTCAACCCAACAGCTCTCCCTTACACTGTACCAGACTTGATCATGTAGAAAATGTTCGTTGCCATACCATGGAGGATGCTTTTGGTACTAGGAATGAAGTATGTGAAACGAGTAAAGTGCTGGAGCCATGCAATGAGAATGATTTTACAGATTTGGCAGTTAGGCAGCCAGTTTCATCTAATACTTTGCATCAGGTAGCTCACAATAATCAAGATGAGGTGAAAAGTGAAGACCTTAAGCCAATCAGCTCCAGAAAAATAGAAAATGATACTAGAGCTGAAGAAGACCCTTCAGCCGAACCATTCAAACATGAGGTTTGCCCTTGCTGCACTTTTTATAATCTGGTTTGCTGACCATCTTCTTAGGTGTTTGTAATTATCCAAATTTCCAAGAGTCCTGGCTTCATTATCTTAAACCATAATTTGTTTTATTGATCTTGACCGAGTCTATTTAGTAGCTCTTTACTCCTGACACAAAAAATGCAATTATTGATCTGTGATATGGGGTAAATGTCCTCTTGTTTAATACAAGGAGTTTAAGATGGACGTGTTTGATGCCATCTTGTATAAATTAAAAGTGATTGTTCAACCAAAATTTCCTTGTTCTGGCTACAAGCTTATGTTACATGTTAATTATAATACTAATTGTACACGATGCCTTCAAGTGTTAATTGGACTGCCATTCGAAGAGTTTTGGTAGATGGTTTCTGGTTTTGCTATATTCAAAGAGTTTTGGTACAATTTTCAATGGCTTGTGATTGATTTTAAAGTAGTTTTATATCTTTTCTACAGGAGCCAAAGCTGGATACCAACCTTTCCATGACATCACCGCTGTGGTCGGATTTAAGTAATATTAGCATAGGAGGCCTTCTGTCTGAAATATCTATGCAGGGAAGATTTAGCACTGAAGATCCAAGATCAGGTGGTAGTAGATTGGTATCGCAACCTACTGTGGCAGACTCACTAGATGCATTCATTGAACAATTTAAGTACCCTCAATCTTCAACTATGTCTAATTCTGATATGCCCTCATCTATTCTGGATGCCGAAAGCACATGTCATTCATTTGCATTTTCAAAACCATCATCCTCCAGCAAAGACTTACCACCTACTCCTGGGAGAAGGGCCTTTTCTGGGTTATCTGGCCACAATTCTGCTTCTGAGTCTTTTAAGTGTCTCAAGTCTGAGGTTTGTTCCTTCCTTTGCTTTTGTTATTCTTTGCAATATCTAATACCTTGGATGAACATAAATTACAAGGAACCTAAGTATTTCTGTTATGGGGTGGGTAAGACCAGGTATTCAGTCAAATATCTAGGAACTGATCTCTGAACCGGGGGGTCAATTCCTGAAAACTGATAGAACCAGTGGGTGAATTCCTGAAAACTGATCTCAGAATTGTCCAATTTATTTCCATAGAAGTGGAACTGAAATTGGACCTGATCATAATCTGTTACCCCAGGCAGATTGTGTTACATGTTACTAAATTAAGTTTATGGCTTATGTAACCATAAATAACATAACTGATACTTTAGCTAAATTATTACTTTCCTGCATTTTGGACTTTTGGTATTAAAATCTACCACTTCATACAAATTACAATTACACGGACCACAATTGCAGTCCATGGAAGAGATAGATTACACAAATATAGAAAACCATACGAACCATAATAATGAATTATGTACCTGACAGATCCAGTTCTAGCCTAGTGCTTATTATTTGCTAGTTTCTATTACGACAGCTTCAGGTAAGTTTCAGTGGACAATTTCTATAACTTTTTTTTATTGTGTCTACTCTGTTTTCAGCAGGTCAATACACAAAGTGATCTATTGGGAAGCGACAATGTTCAGGAACCCAAAACGGATCCCCTCCCTTGCTCAACAGGAGTATTTAACAACGAGAACAGCCTTGGTTTATCCAGTATTAGATGGGTATATTATTAACACAATTATTATTTTAATTAAGGATATACTCCGTACATTGCATTGTTGAAGGTTCTTGACATTATAGTCCCTACTTGTTTGTTCCTCACATGATCTGTCCTTTCATACTGATTTCAGAATGACTCGTTGGGACCCTTTGATCTTCCCTTAGCATCGCGGCAGATTATAAAAGATGACAATTTAAGCATTGGAGGATTTGTCAGATAGCAACTTCGATCTTCAGATGCTTCTGGACTCGACTTTGGTAGGTACTAGTTGAGCATGTGGTTTATAATTCAATTAATACCATCTTCAAGTCGTAAGCAGAAGGACTTCCTGGTTCATACGAAGCTGTCCTGTGTTGTTGTTTTGGCCTGCATACTTAATTAGGTGGTGTTTGCAGACATCGAAGGCCCACCGGTACCTTACAGGCATGCATCTGATCTGCTATTGTGTCTTAAGATGGGTGTTGATAGCTGTTAATAATATTTGTACAGATCTAATAGTTGGTCATCTTCATGTCTAGAGTTTTATAGACATAAAACACCTTCATGTGGTAGTAGTTATATTGCATAATTCTTTCATCAATGAAAGTACACCAGCTTGTTCTTGGAGTTGTACCAATCATAATTAAATCTAGACTTTAACTTATTTGTTGAAGATATTTGATGGTTCAATTTTAGTGAATATGATATTAGAGTGAAAATTTTATGATGCGCTTATGAAGAAAGAAATTGGTGGACAAGATTTTTATAGATCACTATCTCATTTATTACTTGAATATGATTTTTTAAGTAAGAAAATGTGTATCGTTTATGGTGATGACATTATCTTATTAAAAGGAGGCGGCCATTTATTCTCTTGAGAATAATTATTGACGTTATATAATAAGTTTATGTTAGACTATCTCATGGGGCAAATATCCACGCCCTCAAAGATATGAATAACTCCTAAATTTCAATTAAGTTAATCCCATATCCTCAAAAGTACCATAAATTGAAGGAAGTTGAATGTTTGTCAGGACATTTTTTGTCGTTCTTATTGTTAAAGATCACTGTTGCATGACACGTATCTATATTGTCATCTGCAGCATGATCCACCTAATACAAGGATATTGCTTCAGTGAGTCACCTCTTTTTGTGTGTGACCAAACTTTTATTTAGATTTAGATAATTTTATCTTACATAATTTCATACTTTTGATAATAATGTCTACAATTTATCCCGTACTCAATGTAAGATAAGTTTTGGGAATACATAACTTTGAGAAAATTAAGGGGATGGAAAAATAGTCATGTCTAAATATTTTTTTTTTGGGTAGATTATGTTTTGAAATATTGTGTTTTATAGGCCATTTTACATAAAAACAAGTTTAGGTTATCAATAATTTGAGCAAATAATTAAACAGGAAAACTAAAATAGCAACTAACTGAATACGTCAAAAAATTAAATAAATATCATAACTAATCCTTTATTGTATTATATTTTGGAAGTATTAAGCAAAATCCTTGAAAGATTTCTAATAACTAAAACAATATTATCGTCTAAGGTAGTCCACAAAATTGAAAATGAGACATTTTGGGCATAGAGAATCTCTACTAAAATTGCCTGTATATGAAACTTAACTTACAACTTGATTGGCAAATAATCAAATATAGCAAATTCCAGAAATGCCTAAACACACTTAGTTCTATCAAACTGTACAAACCAAAACATAATATTCCAATAACATGGCAGAAAGATTAAACTGATACTAAGTTTTACACATCAAAATAATCATCAGAAAATTTACTCTTGATCCACTTAAAGCTGTTGCGAAATGTTGATTTCAGCTTACCCTCCATGGCATACATGTTATAGGATGCCACTCTCTTCTTCCTCTTTACCTCCGGGTTTCCGGACCCTCCGAACTCATCTCCGTTGTTGCTCGGGCCGTTGAATGTGTAAGCTCTAGGACCATCTTCGAATGCATAGTTGGCTTTTACATAGGAAGAGTATTCCGGCATTGATTTGCTCTTCTCCATCACCAAAAAGTTGCTCTGATCTCTTAAGGATGGGAATGAGTAGTTCCCCCCAACTTCACAGATGTATATATAGACCACAAAACACCAAAACAAAAGCCACTGTATATGAGGAAAAAGTAAGGGGAAAGAAAAAAGATATAGTGGGTTACGCGTGGGTTTAATGAAATGAAATTATTGGTAGATCAAAAGATTATAATCTAATGAACATATGGTTAATACAGGTGGGTAAGAAACACGTGGGGCTGATGTTGTATATGATGGGAGACCACAGATTGCATTTTCACACAATAAAATGCTTTAGCTTTAATGACGTGAATACCTTATCTTATGCAAAGTAGAGTAAAGCAATTTCTAAACTCGTCAACACATGCGTATGTGTTGCAACAAAGTAGGGGAGATGACAACCGATAACAGAAACAAAAAAACAGGCGCAGAAATTAGAGTGACGAGGATCCCTACTCCCCGAAACTGAAAGTAGTCACTGCCTTGGCGCCTTTGGGGAGGGGGTAGAATTAAGGGGTAATTTACTAAGTTAATCACCATGACATGAAAACATAAATGATGGTAAAGAAACCAAATTACCAGATATTAGACAAAGGGTAAGCAAAAGTCAAAATATGAAGCATAAACAGTGTTAGAGGCCAACTGGCTAACCATCATTATAGAGGCGGAAAGGAAAGTAGTGGTAGGGGACACAACAGATTGAAGCAGCAGGCTGATTAAAGCCCCACAAGCCACTCTTATAAATATGGTTTTGTGGACCCATTTATTTAGTGTATACTTTTTAATTCATGATGAAGTTGAAAAATATTGTTGTTTTCTTTATGGTTGTTGCTTTGTGGGCCTAAAATAAGGCCGATCTTAAGCAATTATCAGCATTTGAGCCAATGAAAAATGTTGATGTTTGATTTGTATTATCAAAATAATTGTCTACTTTCTGTGTGATGGAAGTTGATGTTAATCTAAGGTGAGTATGAAGTGAGAAATGGATGATTAGTTAGGAATATTCTAAGAAAACAGATCAGAATATCTGATTCCATGATAGTAGAATAGATATGGTGAACATATATATGAGATGGTAAATCAACTAAGCTAAGAAAGGGAAAAGCGGATGAAGTGGAAACAGAACAAGTATATCAAACAATAGGTAGAGGAATGTACTCACATGTACTCACTGACTGGAGAAATTATCAGCACCATTTACAGCATCATCAGTGACGATACTTCCATTCTTGGCCATGAGTACTCTGTATATGCTCTTTGAACATTTTGCGCCTAGTTTTTTCCCATCTTCTAGAGGTAGATCTTCGAGTAACAATTCCTTCTCAGGTACCTAAAATTTCAATTTTAGAAAGGGGGAGGAACAACCAAATATTATGATCCACTTTCATGCATTTAATAATTAGCATTTAACAGCAAGACAGATCAACCAAGTTTTTCTTCAGAAACATAAGAGCTCAGACTATAAATTCAGATGGATAACTACAATAATTTAGGATAGTTGATTTCTGGTCTTGAACACAATATAGCCCAAATAGGTATGACAGAGTTTTGTTCATGTCATGAATTAGTGGTTCTAATGTAGGTCGCTTTCAGGAGAAACTAATACAAAGGCCTCATACCCTACACAAAGAGGAAAGAAATAAAAGCTTTTCTGGGCAGTAATTGGTTGATGAACCGAAAGCACTGAGGGAAATTGGATACGAATAGTTGTCTCAACAAAAAAGGTACTATCCCAATGCTACAAAGCCTTAACTACAGCCCTACAGGCTCTCTAGTAGCCTTTTAAGGGCATTTAAAAGGTGTTAAACAGTAACGCTACACTATAGTTTTCTAAAACAAGGAATTAAATACATATTCTTCTCAAAAGCAACTAAGCAAGGAAGGAATTAGAACAATTTGCCTCAAGACACTTCACAAATTATCAAAAGAAAAGGATAGTGGTAAGCCCTGGTGACACTGGAAACAGTAAGTACCTTTAATTTTAAAAGAAAACAAGCTGATATACATGGGTCAATCTCAGAATACACATAACAGCAAGACCAAAATCACAATAATAACAGAGGAAGGCAACTGATGTCAACAAGATTGGGAAAGGCTAGGGAATGTATGCAATTGGTGGCAACTAAATCCAGATGAACCCTGAGACATTATTTGCCAGAAACGAACGATAAAACCCTAATCACAAATGGAAAAGAAAATACTCCTAGTAATCAAACCATTCTAAATGTGACAGGGAAAGTAGAGAAGAGCATTACAATGAACTTGTAGGAATAGATAAGAATGCCACTGTTTATGGAGCAAAGTGTTGACACAATGGTAGTTCCAAAACCGCCTATATCTACACTGACGAATCAGAAAGTATCCTTTATCAATGGTATCAACTATCAAGCATTAATTCTAAAAATAGTCTACCTGATCACATCCCTTTGATCTCCCAGGCTATAATCAACTAAAGTGAAGTGCAGAGGATGTAAAGAAGTTTACTGGCACATTTTAATCCTTTGAAAAGATAAGGTAGCTAATGTTGCATAATCAGAAGGTCAACAGTAGGTATCAAGAAGTTCATAAACTAGGAATTGCACAAATAAGAATTGCCATAGCAGATGCATAACCCAAAAGGTAGAATGCAAATTACGTGACAATACTGAACAAGAGCTAGACTTTCAATTTTCAACAGGTAAAATAAATACTCAACAGGAGCTTACATTGCTTTGCAAAAGTTTATGGCCCCTCCTTAAATTGAGAACTTATCTAAATACAGGAAGCTGACCCCAATGAAAAAAGCGAAATTTAGAGAAGTTAAATCAATTCAGTAATATTGTTCAGCAAATTGATCAATCTCTAAATGATCACAAAGCAGCAGCATATCAGATTTCTAATTTCTCTCTTTCACATTGATTAACACTATATTTGGATATAGAGAAATGGAGGGAAAGGAAGAGAAGAGAAAAGGAAGGATGTAACATTTTTTATTTGGATATCTAATGCAATGAGGAAGGGGAGGGAATTGGAAAAATCCACTGTCCTACCCCTTTTAATAAACCAAATTTCTCCACTGTTAGAGAGATTTGGAAGGAAATTGGAAGCTCACCTTCTCCCTCCCCTCACCTCCTTTTCCCTTCCCTCTTTTTCCTTCCTCTCCCTTTCCCTTCGCTATTGTTAGCCAAACATAGTGTAAATGAAGCAAAAATCTGGTCTACTTGCATAAAATGCAATGTTAAACTATCAGCTATTTCTATACAACAGCCTATATACTAATACTAAATGGGGTGGTGGCGTAGATCCCCAACTCTTGAAAGCTGATAGCTTGTAAAACTGGTAGGAAATGATTTCACACATCATAAAAGAGCAAAAGTACCATCCCAAACAAATTTAGTAAATGGAAAAACCAGGAAGCCAGAACATGAAAGAAAGGCTTACAGTTTTAGTTGGATCCATGTAGACTTGCAAGAGAGACTTCATAGTAGGATACTTCTTCCCTATAGTGATAGCATGTCGAGGTTGCACTTTTGGGATTGAAACCAGTGCCTTTAACCTGGAAACCGAAATATAGGGGAGCATTATTAAAATTATTGTGGGAAGATGACTGAGTCCATTTCCATGAGCAGATCTTGTTCATAAGCTAAGTAAAAAATGACACAATCACAAAAACTCAGCGATGGGACTAACCATATAATAAAGTAAATAACAAAGAGTAAAAAAGGGGTTTCGATGCAACTCTTAATAACTTTTGATAAATGTTATCGCTGCGAGGGAGACTAAAAGTAAAGTTAACAGAAAAGGGACTAGAACCAACTCAATGAGTCACAAAGAACTCCAGAGCAGTGTCAAGAGAGCATGACTATTGCTTCATAAAAAAAACACGATGATGTACACCTACAAAAAAGATCATATACTTCTTTTTCCAATTATCAACTTAGTGACAAGATAAGAATAGGCTACATCAGGCCGTTACAGTTTACACAAATTCAGTCACTCAATCCTGATGCTCAGAGAGGACAAGGTGACGAATATCAGCTTTAGGTGGACGATAAAGAGTATTCGATATGTTAGTAAGGCTTTTGCTTGGTGCAGCATCCACAAGGTTGATAGGAGCCATGCTAACAAGGCACATCTACTTGCAACCATGAAAAATGATAGTTTAGTGTCTTTTAATCGTTTGGTCTTGTATGTTTAAGCTCATGTCCAAAAAAATAGAAAAAAAAAAAACTTAATGACAAGATTCATTATACTTCTTATCATACTAAACATACAGAATACATTATTATATGAAAGATATATAGAAAGTTCGGCAACACATACCTTCTCTTCATTAGATTAAAAAATCAACATAGCGTGGCCATGCATAAGTAATAAAATGAGTTAGACTAGTATAACTGATTTTGTAAAAGTAGATTGTTGAATAATTGCTTCATTAATTTATTATAATTATCATTAGACAATTTACTCAACTAGAAACTTATTTGAGGTTAATGATATAGGAAATAAGAAGCTATTGTATAAAAAAATTAGCCAGGCTATGCTTATTAATCTAAAAGTATAAGATATCTAAAGTGTCCATGTCCTAAAAAAGGAAACGACATTTTTTCATCCCCGGATCAAACCAGTAAAAAGGACCTACATTAAGAAAACCTCAAAATTTTGGCCAATAATTTATAAAACTTCAGGAGAAAGAGGTAGAAACCTCACCATGTACTTGTGATTAGTGCATGCAAGGAGTCTCAACGGCCCAATTTGAAGGGATCTTCTTTTGATAAAATTCATCCAAGTGTCTAATTGTCCGTTATAGGAAATGCCAATAAACCCGAGTACCTGACTCCTCTACTATTCTGTTTAAGTGCCAAGGCATCACCTATTAGATTGATAAAGGGGTTGACAGATGGTGAGGAAATGGAGACTAGGCATGAAATTTTGTTACAAGGGTGAAAATAGTCTTGCAGAGATAACATATGGAAATTGCCTTTTGAGAGGTCTTGCACTATTTACAGTAACACAATCTAGGGAGTTGAGAGCTACTCCTCTCGTCTCTTGTAGTATGCACCATATTCTTTTTTGGGATTTCTCCAAGAGAATGCTCCATTCGATTGTGCTATAGACTGGAAATGATTGCAATAGAAAACCCAGAAACAGGGGAAAGCTTGGATATTTTGATTAATATTTGAAGATAACGGCTACAAGGGAAAATAAGCTAAAACTGATTTCTTGAGGAATACTACAGCTACACTACTGCTACACTACTGCTACACTACTTACTAATTTCTCCAAAAATATACCCTTCACCGTTACATTGTTATCCCTTATATACCAAGCCCCTTACCCATACAAGGTACTCTAGTCATTAAGATTTTTGTCATGTAATACAAAAGTGGCTTTCACCACAGAGAAACCAATTGCCACACTACATAGTGTTTCATAGAACCTTCTTGGCATCTTCCTGCTACATGCTGCTGCTGCTATTGATCTTGTGACTCTTGTCCCTTGGCCTTGTGTTTGTGCCTTCGTTCATAAACCCGAATTGGCTGTTGGTATGGTTTGACCCGATTCATAGCATTACTCCCCTACCGGACATTCACCTTGTCCTCAAGGTGGAAAGATGGAAACCTGAGGTTGATCATATCATAGTCCTCCCATGTTGCCTCAAAATCAGGTAGCTCGCGTCATTTAAGCAACACCTCAGTGCACGACTTGCCCCTTTCTTCCTTCTATCGCACCCCCAGAACTTCCTCTGTCTCCACTATGAGCTCCAAGTCAACAGTGAGCTGAATTGGAATGGTGGGATTTACTGGTGCATCCTCTGCTGCCTTCTTCAGTTGCGACACATGAAATACCGGGTGTACCTTGCTATCATCCGGCAGTTTTAGGCGGTAAGCCACCTTCCCAATTCGTTGTAGGACTTCAAAGGGCCAGTAGAAGCGCGTTGCCAACTTCTCATATGGACTTTGTTGAAGAACTTCAAAGGGCCTGTAGAAGCGCGTTGCCAACTTCTCATATACGTTTGGCAATGGATTGCTGCCTATAAGGCTACAGTTTAAGAAACACCCAGTCCCCTATCTCAAATTCCACCTCTCTTCTCCTACCATCTGCATTCTCCTTCATCAATAGTTGCGCTAGGTTGATGTGCATTTTCAATTCATCCAAGATCAAGTCTCTCTCCATCAATCCCTCCTCCAAACTCTTCACCACTGTCAAACCTTCCTTCATCTTCCAATTTTTGGGTAGATCTCTCCCATACACAACTTTAAAAGGGCCATCTTAGTTGTGGTGTGGGGTGAAGTGTTGTAGGAGTATTCGGCCCATGGAAGCCAATGTGCCCAAGATTTGGGTTGGCTAGCAACGAAGCACCGGAGATAGGTTTTTACACACTTATTAACCACCTCCGTTTGGCCATCCGTTTGAGGATGGTAAGCGATGCTACGCTTGAGATGTGTGCCTTGTAATCGGAACAACTCTCTCCAAAAGTGACTCATGAACACCTTATCTTGATCGGAGACTATCGACGATGGAAACCCGCGCAATCGGACAATCTCCCTTACAAAAACATCTGAAACTTTCAATGCATTAAGGGTATGCTTTAACCCCAAGAAGTGGCTGTATTTCGATAGCCGGTCCACTAATACCAAGATTATATTCACCCCCATAGAGACGTAGTCCCAAACCACTTCCAGCACTGATAGTGGCTGCAACGGAACCCGTTGTGATGCCTTGCTTCGTTGCCACACTTCACAAAGTCAAACATATTCCCCCACCATCTTTAGCATACCCGACCAAAACCAATCTGCTGCCAGCCGTGGTAAGTTTTAACTTCACCATCGTGACCAACCATAGGGGTATCATGGTACTCCGTGAGTAGTATTGAAATGAATCTTGAATTCTTTGGCACGACCATTTGACCCTTATAAACTACTCAGCCTTCAGCCGGGAGAATCCTTTGCAATTACTCGGACCATTTAACTTCTGCTTAAGTTCTTCCAGCCACAAATCCTAGGCTATCTCCTCTTCAAACTCGGCCTGGTCCACTATTTGGACTGCACTCCCTTCTTTCCTTGAAAGGGCGTCCGCCACTTTATTGAAAGGCCCGGGCTTATATTAGATCTCAAAGTCCAAGACCATCAACTTTCTCATCCATTTTTGATACTCACTCCCTACCTCTTTTAGTTGTGTCAAAAATCTCAAGCTTTGTTCATCGGTATGAATTACAAAATGCCTTCCAAGAAGGTAGTGTCTCCATTTCCATCACCGCTAAACTAATAGTCATCAACTCCTTCTCATAAATGGATTTTACTTGATTTCTAACCCCATGCTAAATAAGCCATTGGTTTGCCTTGTTGCATCATTCCCGCCCCTAGCCCATACCCGGATGCATCGGTTTCGATCACAAATTCTAATTAAAAATTCGGCATGGCCAATACGGGAGCGGAAGTCATGGCAGCCTTGAGGGCTTTGAAGGCTTAGGCTGCCTCTAAGCCCCACCTGAAATTGCCTTTCTTCAATTGAGTTGTAAAAGGTCCAGCAAATTAGGCATAATGAGCCGCAAATTTCCGATAGTAACCAGTGAGGCCCAAGAAAACTCGCAGCTCCCTCAAATTTTGGGGTTCCTCCCACTCTACAATGGCTTTCACCTTCTCCATATCCATGGCTACCCCCTTCTCCGAAATTATGTGCCCCAAATACGCTACTTCCTTCCTCCCAAACTCACACATCTTCCAATTAGCATACAAACTATTCGTAGCTAATTTTTCTAGCACCAATCTCACATGCTCCTTGTGTTCTTCCACGTCCTTACTATACACAAGTATGTCCTCAAAAAACACCAAAACAAACTTCCTCAAACAAGGTTTAAAAATCTCGTTCATAAGCGATTGGAAGGTTGCTGGTGCATTTGTCAATAAGAAGGGCATTACAAGAAATTCGTAATGTTACTCGTGAGTGTGAAATGTCGTCTTGTGGACATTTTCGATTTCACCCTTATTTGATGGTAACCGGACTTCAAGTCCAATTTTGAGAACCATTTAGCCCAGTGCAACTCATCAAGTAAAATTCATCTATGACCGGAATTGGGAATTTATCCGACATGGTTTCTTTGTTCAATGCCCTATAATCAACACAAAACCTCCGACTTCCATCCTTCTTCTTCACAAGAATCACCGGGCTAGAGAAGGGACTCGTAGAGAGCCGAATTATTCCGGCTTGAAGCATCTCTTGAAATAACTTCTCTATCTCATCCTTTTGAATTTAAGGGTAGCGATACGGTCTCACACTAACTGAGTCACTTCCCCCTTTCAAAATAATCGAATGCTCATGATAGCGTTGGGGAGGCAAACCCACCAGGATCTCAAACACCTTACCTTTGCCAGGAACGATGGTGGTTGTTGTTCCCTTGCTACCTCTGTTTTATCATCCTCCATATTGCTCAATTCCACCAGAATTCCCCTGCTTCTCCTACATAAATTCCTGACCATGGCTTTTTGCGAGATTTGGGTCTTCTGTAGTGACGGGTCGCCAATGAGTGTCACCGAATGCCATCAACTCGAAACTTCATTATGTGTCTTCCAATTCCTTGTCACAGCCCCCAACTTCTCCAACCACTGCACACCGAGTATTAAATCGCCGTTTCCCAACTTAAGAGGTAGAAAATCCTCAATGATCGAGACTCCACCATTTAATTGCACCTATACCTTCTTGCAAACTATACTTCCTTTCATTGTTTCTCAAATTCCTAGGGCCACCGAAATTTCCCCTCTTTTTGACACCGAAATCGCCGCTTCCGCCACTAATTGCAACGCGAAGAAGTTGTGAGTAGCTTCGGGGTCAATCATCACCACCGCCGTTCTAACCCCTAGCTCTTCCTTCAATTTCATAGTCTTTGAATTAGAAATTCCGATGACTGAGCACAAGGACACCTTGACTTCCGCATCATCCACCGTATCCTCCTCCACTTTTAGCGTTTCTTCCTCTTCCGTAACCATAAGGACGCTCATTTCTTTCCTTTTACATCGGTGACCTACACTCCACTTTTCATCACACCTAAAACAAAGATTTTTCGCACTCCTCTCCTGCAATTCAGCCTGTGTGAGCCGTCGGGTATAGGTGGTGCTCTTACTTTGCGAATTACCAGATGGGTTTGCCATGTTCACTGAGACTCTGGTAGTTTGGTCCAAGATTTACTTGCCCAATATGATGAGGTACCCCATATGTTTGCACTAACCCAGGTCCACCAGAAGTGAGGTATGAGTTTTGGGCCAGCCCAAACTTCGACACCCCTTGACCCATCTTCTTGAATTCACAAACCCGATTTTTTTCTTCAATCTGACCCGCCAACTCCATTGCACCTTCCAGATTAAACGAATTCAACATCCTCAACTCGGTTTTAATTTCCCCCTTAGCCCATTAATGAACTGGCCAACATAAGGGTTTCGAGTATGCCTTCCAACGAGCTGCCAGCTCTATTTACCTCCTCCTATACTCCTCCACCGTTCCGTCTTGCACCACTGCGAGCCATTACTCATATAATGACCCCTCGTAAGAAGTTCGAAATTCATACGGTAGCCTTTCCTTACGTACCGGTCGCCGCATTCTTCATCTCCTCCATGAACTTGTTTTGTTCTCTCTCCAATTGCGGCTTGCTTCTCATGGGTTTCCCAAAATCGGTTGATTCGGGCCTCCAACTGGTGGTGGTGTTGGCCATAGCCTCCTCCGACTGCTTCCTCTCCGTTTCCAAGGCTTGAGCCACAACAGCCTGAACCACCCTTCCGATGGTTGCTTCTTGTGAGTCGAACTTCCCATTTATGTCAGCTATTTGTGTTACTAGACCTGTGAGCTTTTCCTCCACCGTGACTGCTCTGATACCAAGTTGCTATAGACTGGAAAATCAGATTCAATGATTGCAATAGAAAACCCAAAAACAGGGGAAAGCTTGGATATTTTGATTAATATTTGAAGATTACGGCTACAAGGGAAAATAAGCTAAAGCTGATTTCTTGAGGAATGCTACAGCTACACTACTTACTAATTTCTCCAAAAATATACCCTTCACTGTTACATTGCTATCCCTTATATACCAAGCCCCTTACCCATATAAGGTACTCTAGTCATTAAGATTTTTGTCATGTAATGCAAAAGTGGCTTTCACCATAGAGAAACCTATTGCCACAATACATAGTGGATCATTAAAACTTTTTGGCATCTTCCTGCTACAAGCTGCTGCTGCTACTGATCAAATCCTTTGGCCTTGTGTTTGTGCCTTCATTCATAAACCCGAATTGGTTGTTGGTGTGGTTCGACCCGATTCATAGCAGATTGGTGGTCATGTGGTAACATTACTTATCACTAATACCACTCAGCCAAATTACTTATTTCTCATAAAATCAAACCCAGCAAAGCAATATACCTATTTACAGGTGGAACTGTAGAACATTTGCACTTGCATCATGTTTCTAGAGCAGATATAAAGGTTGAAGAAAGAGATTTAAATTGATAATACTAGAATCACAGAAAAATAAAGGATAGAATATCAAATTTCAAGTGGCCTGATTATCTCCCAACTAGTTAAACTAAAATATCAATTTTATCTTCAGAATACCCTCTGTACTCTCTACTCTTCCTCATACATTGTATCTCTGATTCTCCTTACCATATAACCAACCGTCCTGCTCAAGATACTACTAACAGAATAACATTGGATTACCTAAATGCTCCTTCTCTTAGGTTGGTTCATTAAAACTTACTGACTGGAGGTAGGCCATCAGCAGCTGAACAGAAAACAATGATAGATATTTGTGTAATGAGCCACAATGCAGGCTACATAAACATGTGTGTACCAGAAATACTAACCACGAATCCTTCTTTATAGCGCTTCTGTACAGACAATCCTTGGTCACATTACATCCATTGGCATTCACAGACAAGTGTGTCAGCTTCTTGCTGCCGGAAAAAGCAAAATACTTTAGGCACCTCACCTAAATGTTAACTAAAGATAAAATGATGTCTAAAATTTATATTCTAGCAGTAACATATGCAGTAAAAAGAGCATGTAAAGCAGAAAGGGTAAATATGTAAAACGCAGTGATAAAAAAAATGCTTAGATAGTAACTGCTTAATGCCAGTTCACTAGAAATGTTTTTTTTAGGGTTACAGCTTAGAAGTTGTAGTTTAGTGGATTGTAGGGCACGTGCCAGTTGATGCTAGGACCACTAAATTCTTCATATTCATTTAGCAAAAGGCGCTCAAGTTTTTAGCTACACCATACATTGGAGCATTAGAGTATCTACAGATCTGAAACATTGATTACATCGGTGCAATTTCAAGGTCAAATTCACTTTAAATTTGATTAATGCATGGATGGTGAAGTATATGTTCGTGCCTGTCCTGGAGATTTGACCATTGTTGATTGGAAATGAATTTTAAAAAGAAACAGTTAATTACAGCATTACTTTTGGAACTTGTATATGTTTGATAGTTGTGTTGATTATTGTCCAACAATTTTTTTTTATCAATGACTAAAGAAGATAAAATTTCTACTTATAATTATCACGAAATAATTCCCCTAGATCAATAACCAATATCAATAAAAAGAGATTACACATTTCAAACAACAGAAAAGCTCATGATTGAAGAACAATTCCACTTTTTAAAGTACTTTTATAATTCTTATTCAACAAATAAATGGTGAAATTCATTTTGAAGTGAAATCAGATTACTACAACAATTTTTGTAATATTTAGTTGCAAACTACCCTTTCTGTCGTTTCAGATAACAAAGCATGTGATGGGTCCAACAACTTCACTTTACTCACATTCAGTCATACACATTAGGGTTTAACAATTACGAATGCATAAGCTTCCTTTTTCCTGGTCAAATCATTAAAATCATGAAGCGCTTCAATTTATTTCTCTCTTATTTTACATACTCCTATTTCCGAAAATTTGATTCCCTTAGCCGTTAAAAACTGGTGATAATTTTTTTTTAAAAAGAATGAAAGCAGAACAGTATACCTAAGCATGATTCTCATGTGGATTGCATTGCATGTATGATACGTTTTGAAAAATAAATATAAAGAGTTACCGAGAATGGCACTTGGCAAGGTTGATTGTCAACCCAACAACATGTTCAGCTACTTCAGCCTCATCAACACATTGTCTTATATGAACATTGGAGAACTGAGTAGTCAACTTGGCAAACAGCTGTGCAGAAAGCATTCAGTCAATTCAGCAATTTTAACAAGCAATAATAAGCAAAATTTGAAGTATTGGATGAGCCAAACTGAAATTATTTAGAGATTAGAATTTGCCAATATGTCTTGCCTTTTCCACAGGTGGACGTATCCAGTCACTAGCAACCTTTTGTTGTTTATACTTCTGTTGCTCCCTGCAAAGATAACAAACCCCCAGCAAGTTATGGATTTTATTTCTCAATAAAGCCAGGACAGTTGAGAAAACTTGAAAAATGAATACATAGCAGGAAGAAGATGCGGAATATACTTGAATAAGAGAAACTAATCAAGTAACACGACAACATTTACCCAAACATCTTCCCCGAAATGCAAAATAAAGAAAGAGTGAGAATACGAGACTACGAGTATGTGCAAAGCATTACAAGGTTCTCTAGGGTGTATGCTTGTAGGCTCAAATAAATAAGTGGACAACTTTAATGAATACAAGATTATCTCCTATTCTCCTAGACTTTACCTTAATCACACTTTCCTTTTTGTTTGTTTTCCAGCACGTGAAATTTGTATATCATCACAGTGGAGCAGACTTTTAGATAACAATTTACACTTCGCCTTGCTTAATATGCTCAGCATTCAACCTCGACTTAATTCTTCTAACACATCTTCCCTGTCTTATTCAACCATCATGGTTCCAAATGTTGTATAAAGTATAAAGGTATTTGAATTTGACAAGGGAGAAGGGAATATGAGGACAGGTAAAAGTAGACCTGGTTATTGGGCGGTCAGGTCAGGGTTGGTAGTGATCTGGTCAAAGATCACATTTTATAGGGCAATGCGGGTTGTGGGTCAATAGCGGGTCAATAATGGGGGGGCCAGTAAACTATGAATTAAAGAGAATATAAACCAAAGCCAAAATCATGTATATATGAATACGAAAATACCCATGTAATTTTTTCTTACATTATCTTTCTTTATCTTATAAAATTGGGCAAATATTTTGACCCTGTATTGACCTTACCCAATAAAAGGACTGTCCATTAAGGGCCCTCTAACCTTGGCCTTGACCCTATTATCATTGGGCAACCCTACCCCATAACCAGGTCTAGGTAAAAGAAAACAAGCGTGGGGCATCAGCCTCACTCTGGAGGCCAGCAAATCACATCTGAACAGCATCAAAGGAAGACAGACATTAAGATTGGAGAGGGGGGGTCACAACTTACAAGACTCTACCATAGAGAATCCTGGATTACCTAAGGCCGTGATTAATATATTTTGCATATTTACTGAAGCCTTAAAAAAAGAAAAAAAAAATCTTCTCATGTGCCACTACACTAACAAAAATAAAACTAACGGAATTTCATGCATAAAATCAAGGAGGCACAAGATCCATCAAATAAGATGAGGGAAATACTTGCAATTGTCTCACCTTTTATTGATAAAAGACATCAACCTATTTGTAAGGCAGCAGATTGTGTAAGATGGATAATGCTTTCGCACAGAAGCAATATGATCCATAAGAGATCCATCATTAGCACATTTACAAAATTCCTCAGCATCACCATATATGAGCAATATATATTGAACATCAATTTTTACCGTAGCATGCTGCAGACAAACAGTTACCAACATTCAATCAGTTTCAAGCTATTCCCCAGGAATTGGATATATAATCTGTCATCAGAACTGATATACAAGTAAAGGACATGATAACCTTCTCTTATTGCTATACAAATCAGCTCACATTTGTCATTCAAGAACAAAAGAGAGTTAGATAGAATTGGAAGAAAAAGCTACAGATTTCTCATTCAAACATAAGGAACCGTTGGACAAGGACAAAAAAATCTTCAGCTGAACATCAAATGAACTACTCAGAAAAATTTAAACATAATGATTGATAGTAGAGTTTTCGTTAATAATATTCCTGTGCCAAAAACCTGAAGAGGACAAAGCATCCATGTAACGTAAGGTAGCCAAATATACAAGTCACCACAGACTCTAAATAATACAACAGTGCCTCAATGAGACTTCTGTCATTGTAATAAAGAGGATGTCCTCCATGCCTTATCCAAAACGAAAATTTTGAATACTTAGTCATCCACTGCAGAAAAACATACAATAGGTTCCAGCTGTACTGTCTGTACAAACAATGGATCAAAATCCAGTGATTGAAATACTACAGTAATGAAACATGTACCAGAAGACAAGCAAATGTCAAGTATTCCTTTAAACAGCTTAACTGCTTAAGCAATAAAAGATAACAAGAGGGACTATAAGTTTAGTAACAAGACTTGAAGAAGCTTTGAACAGGAAAGACATCCAAGAAACTATATCAAGATCAAAGGTTCATGCTTTACAAATTACAATCTTGAACAAGAGATTGGAAGATAATGAAATCAACAAATATCATCAAGCATCTCTCTCCATTAATCTCTGAATAACTTTTAAATCTGCTATAGACCAACTATTTGAAGATAAAAACTAAGAGAAGAGGATGATATTGCCATCAGATTGTCAAACATTTGAGTGGCTTGATACATTCCCAAAAATAATAAACTAAAGCAAAGTAAAGTCTCTATAGTTTACTGATGATTTTCAACCTTGATCTATAGATAGACAACTCAGATTTTCTCTCATCTAACTAACTCTCTAATTCTTCCCCATGATACCCCTAATCGATTTAGAACAGTCCCCATATTGCCACCTTAAGGCCATTTCACCACAGAAACCTCCTTGACAAATAATCTGTAAGAACAATAGACCATTAAGGATGAGACAACAGCTGAGAACACAAAGATTGGAAGAACAGTTAGAAATTGTGACCCCTTTAAGTAAATAAAGGTCTTTAAAGTCACCAGTATACTGTTATAGACCTGGTGTCTACCACCACTGAGCCAACAAGGAACACAGTAGCACACTAGCACTAGAGGACAAAAGCAATTAAGAAAGCACTAAGGAGAGGGGGAGCATGGGACTGATTCCTGATTCTGTATGGCAGCAGTAGAGGACAGGAACAATTAATATTAGGTTAATGTTTTGTAATGTGGCTTTAGTATATAAAGTGTAGTAGTGAAGGCAGTAGGACATTATGTGAATTGTGAGGAAATATGTTAAGAGAATGGTAACCTCAAGTTACTACTCTTACTAGGAGAGTGATAACCTAAAGTTATCAAGAGAATAATAGCCTAAAGCAACCTATCACTTTTGTATCCAAAATTCTGCCATTATCAATCAAAGACTCAAACTTTAATCTTTAAATTTCTGGTTCAATAGAACTTATAATCTGAAAATCCTAGTCTATTACATATTCATACATCTAAGAAGTACCCATCATCCCTTTTCAAGTAAATTATCCAGAAAACAGCAGAAATAAGAATCTCCCAAAGACGGTTCTTAACATTACTCATATTCAGAGCCCTAAATCATTCTACAAAAACAATAACGCAAAAAATTAAAGAAGACTAGTGGGATAGTGCATCAAAGATAAACCAGATTTACTCAATCAAAAAAATGAAAAGAAAGGACCTTAAAACATAAGAAGTATAAGGAACAGGTTCATAAGGGAAAAGAGTCAGTCAACTTGCATCTTCAAATTAACTTTCATCAACATAAACTATCAACAAGTTATAGTTCCATTTACCTGAGAAATGTCTTTGGGAGTCTCTATTCTCAAAACAATTGATTTTTCAAAGGGATTTGCAAAAATTTCAGACCTGAGATCTTTCTGGCTAAACATGGTTAGCAGTGGTCCTGTATTCAAGAAAAGTATCAGTAAGACTAGTTAAGAAGTTAAATTTTTTTTACATAATTCAATGATGAAGTTTAGCAGGTATATACGAGTATACCCTTACCGAGCCTACCTCCAACTGAACCTGACAGAACCTTTGGATCAATCACAGCCACAATGTCTTTCTCACTGAACTTATGTTTCTCTAACTTCTTCCTCTCTTTTGCCAACTGTTTCTGTTTTGCAGTTTCATCCTTCAATTCCGCTTTACGCGACCTCTCTTGCTGCGTTATGAAAAAACTCAGTAAGCTCTAGTCTTAACATGATCTGTTACATGAAATCAATAAAACATAAGACTGACCTCCTTCATGAGCCTTTTTTCCTCAGATAATTTCTTTCTATTTTCAGCCTGATTAACTTTGTTCTGTTTCTTCTCTGTATTAGCATCACCTCCACTTTCCGGCTTATGAATTGCACCTCCTTTTTCCAGTCTGACAATTTTTTTTTCACAATCATGATTCTGAGAATACACCAGACTTGCATTAGCACATGATACACGTAAACATTTAGTATTCGGTAGAGCATCAAAATGCGGATATAAAAATATTATTAAGTCACAATTCATCAGTCACCTAAAGCTAGAGATATGCATCCAACTTCCAAAAGTTTTAAATGTACAACTCAAATCTGAGCTAAAAATTACCTAATGTGCTCTCCAATAGTTTTATCACTTTAGTGCGCCTTGAGCTTATTTATACATTATATTGCCATTATAAAGCATAAAAAATGAGTGTAAATGAACTTAGTGCCTTATGTTTAAAGACTAACACTAGACTCTAGACAACAGTAGAACATAACACCAAACAGCTTTTGGACCTTCATTACTTCAAAAATACGAAAGGATCCTATCAACAACCTATACATCCATTGCAATTGATATTGACAAACTAAACATGTTAAAAGAATCAAATCATAAGCATGACTTCACTTAACCCTGAAACTAACTGAAGACTTGAGGTCATGCAATCCCACAAATTCAGAATTCCAACTGCCTACCAACTCAACCTAGGATGACATTACTAACACATAAAGCCTCCTAATCCATAGTCAACTTATGACGTCCACACAACCAGATCCCTTCTCACTATCATTGATAGCATGAAAGGTCAATTCCAATTTGTTCCAAGTAGCAAGCAACTTTAGTTGAAATGGTAAGCAAAGGCATAGATATGAAGGAAGAACTTGGCAAAGTGTTCTTCAAAAAAGCCAACCTCCCCCCTTCAAATAAATAATGAGAGTGTAGAAGGCAAAAAGACACAGACCGCATGGAGTGTGCAAGGCTGCAAGCTATATCACATTGTAACAGTAACATCTTGATATTGATTAGGAGGAGCAGAGAACATATTAATAGAAAAACCAAGAGGGCTGTAGAGAGATCAAAAGGCAACAAGAAAGTCATATTAATCTTACTTCACTAGGTTGTATATGATTTCTATGGTCATATGTCTTCGTGGACTTCAAGTTCCCTGAGAAAAGAGATTGTCAACGTTATGCAACATATATACCCTTACCTTGCGAAAATATCTTAAGATAATTCACCAACTTACCAAGATGGCATGTGGATTGAAAATTTGAACAACTATCCAAGGGCTCCACATTGAAAGTAGCAGTAATCCTTTCCTTCTCCTGACAGTTCTCCTTTGCTACAACTTTAGGTCTCTTTTTCAAGTTCTGTTCCACATCTGTAGCTGCTCTTCCATTTTCCATTGAACTTCTTTTTCCTAGGCCTTTCCCCTCCACATGAACATTGGGTTCCCCTCCCTTGTGAAGACAAACGTTTGAATCCATGTCTAACCAACTATCAAAATCAATCTCACGCTCCAACACAGCGTATTTAGGGCTTCTTACCAGGTCCTTTCCTGAATCAGAACCTGCACATGCTCCTATGTTCTTCACACAAGTCCCCTTTTCCAGGCCTCCATCATCATCAGGTATCGACTCATCACCTGAAATTTGCAAGATCAATACAAGAAATCGCAGTCACATGGAAAACAAGTAAACATATGAATACCACAAAAAAAGCACAGATGCAAACATATCCGGTGGCCATAATAGTATTAGTATAAAAACAATATGGCTTTGTGACACTTACTAATAATCAAGTACACTTAATTATTAAACTAAAATTTTTAAGAAAATCAGGTGGCAGCGATCTTTGGTTGTACCTTGTGTATTTATTCAACATATTCTCGGTCCTCGGGTCGAACTATTAAAGTCTAAGAGAGAACTCTTATGAGTAAGTTAAAATCAATGATTATTAATTTATCATACAAATGATCATCACAAATTTTGACATGATAACACAAAAGAATGGGCATCAAAATATGGTCTTAGAAAAACAAATTTTCACACGATAACACAAAAGAACGAGTAACGAAAGGGTAAGGAACTCAGGTATTCAGGTTTACAAGGCGCAAGGTGGCCGAAGTGATGCACCTTCTTGGACTGCACTACAAGTTTTGACTGGGGTGAGATATTTCTCGGCAGGACTGTTGTCTATAGAAAGGTTCAACTGAAAGCACACCCATTCCTAATCTATCATGTAAATGAAGAATATTGAGCTATTCATAACCTTAAATGAGCAACAAGGATGCACAAAGGCTTTTACCACAAAAATACCATGTGGGAGCTTCAAGTACAGACCTGTGTTTTGAGGGAAACGGCCAAGTAGCAATAGTATTCAACTACTCCTAAATCACAGTTTAAAGTAGCTAAATTGGACAAAGATCAAGAAAATACTAAGGGTGAAAACATAAGGGATAATCGATAACGATCAAGAGACCAAAACTTAAGTCACTGCAACCCACAATTGCAACATGAACCAAACCCTAAGCCCTAAACAGAACAGAACAAAACTATTAAATCCAAGGTAACTTTATCAGCACTTACAAAACAATGTTCTTCATTTCTTAACATAATCTATAATTAGGAACATTAAACTAGCTTTGATTCAAACAACCCCACTACAGAAGAATGCAAACTAATAAAAAAAACCTAGCCTCATTTTAAGCACAATTTTGGTTTTAAAAACTAATCAACAAAAAAAAATAATCAAGCAGAATGTCTCAAAATCATTTTTAATGACAACCAATTATAGTATAATCGCATAAATTGCAAAAGGGCATCCCTAAAAATGGAAAAGGGCAATCAATTAAGCATTAATCCACTAAACCCATTATAGTCGAGAAGCAAAATAACAAAACAAAAGTAAATTCAAAGACACAAAAAAAAACAAAACCCCTAAATTAAAGGAAAACAATAAAATTAAACAAAATTGTGACCTGATGAAGAATTAGCGAGAAGAGGAGGATGAGCGAGTTTGGAAAGTGGGGTTACGGGAACAAACGGAGATGATGATTTCTGGAATTTGGTCGTCGTCGGAGTTGGGCTGTCTTCGACAAGATCGACGAAATTAGGGGGGTTAGTGGTTGTGTTGAGTGGTTTGGAAACTGGAGTTTTGGCGTTGCCATCGTCGTCATCGTCGGAGTCAATGAGTTCGATTACTGGTGCAGGTGCCATCTTTGATCTTTGATCATACTCCGTAATACACGGTACATTTAGCTCTGAAAATTTACAATGTTTTATTCATTTGTTGAATTTCTTACTTCTTAAGGAGTACCTCAAAAGTCTAAGACTTGAATCTTTCACTGTTACTCCCACCTGCTATGCCCATGAAATGATAAAATACAACTATACAAGTGTTAAAACGTTCATTGATTCGAGGGGGTATGCATTACCAAAATTTACGAATAACAGCAAAATTCAATAACCCTTCTCAATTAAGGGCAAACTGAAACATATACACTTTCAATTTATTTATTTTATTCTTTATTGCATCCTTTAAAAAAAACATTGACAAAAATAAAGGTACTCCTCCATATTTGTTATTTTGAATTTTGAATTTTGAATTTGACAAATAATGTCCACGTTATTTGCTTAGTGCAAAGGAGCATAATCAATTGTGATATATGTACTCTATCAATATTTGCAACTTTCATTTCGGTTTGCTTTGCAAATGAAAAATAAGAAAATAAACATGCTGCAACAAAAAATCATAAATGCAATGTTTTATATGAAGTTAGTTTTTTCATTATCGTTTTTTTTAATTGATTACTTTGACGAGTGAGGAACCAAAGATGCTTACACGATAATCACATCGAGTAAAAAGCATAATATATTACTACATACATGATCACACACCAACTGAACCGTAACTAATAATATCAGAGATGATGGATCATGGATGATTGACCTTACCCACATGGAATGGGGCTTTGGAGAAAACAAGGCTCATACAGTATTAAGAAACGGGGGAGTATACAGAATTCAAGAGATTCAAATTATCAAATCCTAGTGTCAGATTACTTTGAGCATGCTATGAGCTTATGACTCGAGACATCTCCAATAAATCATAGACATACATAAACTGGTAAAGCAGAGAAAATTGCCCCAAATTGGATTCTACCACTAGAAACTCAACCATATGAAATTCTATTAAACACGAACAAAGACATCCGTCAAATCCACTTCATACGAAGTATTCAACTATACAAGGGAATGCTAGAAGGGCATCCTACATTAATACACAAAACTTCCAAGGCAGGTGAGCAGTTTGCAAATTTAATATTTTTGACCAAATGCATATCAGCTGGTCCTCACTTTCCCCTGCAAAGATAAACAAACAAAGCACTATTATTACAAAAAGGGGACGATAAAAAGATATGAAGTATAACAGAAAACTCAGAGAAGCACAAATGACAAGGAGATGGTCAAAAAAAATATTGAACTTACGTATTCATCATCAGAGTGATATTGTCTCCTTTCAGAAGGATCCTCCCTAAAAAAAGGCAACAATGACAAGTTGTTGGACTCAAGATCAAGGAGTGACAGATACAGAAATCATAGGATACACAGAAAATTTTACCAAGTGATTTTCTGGTCTTCTTTTTGACGTTAACCTCTTCTGCATCGTCTAAAACCAAATTCATGTACTCATCAAATCCCTGAAGAAGAGATCATGGATCAGTATATATCAGTACACAAGAGAGCTGACAAAGAATCAGAGATGGATATCAGCAGCAAATATTGAAAAGTGCAATACAAAAACTTTTGAGGTGAAAAAATATTTCTGCTCAGAGTAGTTAAGAGGATCAGCACAAGTAAACCACAACCCAAAGGCTTAGAGTAAATATACTGAATACCAAGGCCAGCAACTATCTCAGTGATCTCACATTCTCACCCCCTCCAAAATAAACCAAGGGAAGCATAATGAGTTGGTTTACCTTTAACCTTCTGATATAGTAGGCAACTAGGCATATTCCAACAAATTCTTAAAAAGGCAACTTGACTAGGGATGCAGGTTTAAATTGATAGAAAGGATACTGACTAAATATCAGTGGTTTTTACAAAAAATTAGCAACAGTTTACAAGTTGCTCAGCTATTAACTTGACAGGTCTTAAAGACGAAAAATCATTTTAAAGGGCACACAGAATTAATTATGTGACAAATTACCTTAAGAATCCATGGGGAATGTTAAAATAGCAGAAAGGTACACTGAATATTAAATCGAACCCATGGGGAATATTGATGAAAAGGGCGAGAATCCACAGATGCCTGAGTGCGTATATCATTGGGAAACACACTATCATTTTCAAGGCGAGTTTTAACAAGTATAATGAAATATATTACAGATAGACACCCCAGTACAAAAAGAGGGCTAAGGCCAAAAGCATCCTGCAAAACTAAACTCTACTCCTTATTCCTAATATACAATAGCAGAGAGAGAGGGGGGGGGGGGGGGAGGATCCTCAATATTCCAGTGCTCCCTTTCATTTCCAAAAGCACCACCATCGATTGCCAACCGAAAGAAGCCTCAAACAGCACAATAATTTAACCATCCTCCATATATTTCCAATATTATTTATACATATACACACTGCCTCATTTCCCAACTGAGAGCTGTGGTTAGAAACTTCTCTTTAATGATAATGATACTGTGTATTTGATACTAGTCACAACCAAAGGAATTTAAGATTTAACATAAATATACCAGACCTCCTATAAATATACCAGACCTCCTAAATCCTCTTTGCTTTTATAAATGAACGAACCACTGTTGTTATCTACTTATCTCTGACGATGACAATACCTTAAGCTCACCAAAAGTTCAACAATGAACCAAAGTGCTCCCTACTTGGAGAAAACACCCAAGATAGCTCAAAATATAAGCCTACACAATGAAAATTGATATCTTTATCGGGCCTATCTTAAACCATATCTCCCAAAAGTTTCCAACATAAATTTATTTGGCTTCACAAAATAGCGGATCATGACATGCAACAAATACATGAATCTTACTGTTACTTCATCAAAATTGGTCCTAGTACTACCTAAGTATGTCCCTCATTTTCACTGCATGAGTTATATTTATCCATTAGTCAAAAGCCCTTTGATATTATATCAGGCAACCAAAAAGAGCTATATTAGGTAAGCATCCATATGTTATATTTCACAAGAAGGTAAAACAGTAAAAAAAATTAATAATAAACAAAATAATATTTATAAAAAAATAAAGTTAAAGTTATAGATAGCACATCTACTATACACACTAATACACTATAACGACTTATACTTCGAGACAATACAAGTTTCTAACGTTGATAAACAAGAATTGTTTAGGGCAATTTTGTAAATAAAATGCATAGATATTGACGCTTTTAAAATTAAAAATTATTCTTTGTACTTTGTACAGCTAGCCACTAACTCTTGAATTTGACGGTGTGAGAGGAGCTTCAATGGAGCTAAGCAAAAGCTCATAAATAACTTCAGTGGCCACTACTTCACGTCTCATGACTTCACGAACATATTCATTGGAGAAGGGAAACCTCAACTACCCTTAAGGGTTAACCATACCCTTTATTTCTCCCTTTAATCTTAGGGTTTTCGTTTAATTTCGACAGCAAAGCAGCCGAAAATGGTGGTTGCCGACTGTGAGTGATGAAGGAGATGAAGATGATAGAAGGATCGGAGGAAGTAGATGAAGAAGATGAAGGTACAATGGGTGAAGGAAGGAGGAAGAAGATGATGACAATGGATGAGAAGTTAACGGTGTTACCTATGATTCTATGAATTACAAAACTAGCCTTCATTATATGCCAGAATTTACAAAGATACTCCTTGATAAACACCAAATGTTTATCATTGTGAGTAACTATAATTTCCCTCTTATACTACATATATTGTTAGGGAGCCACTAAATGTACAGTGATGAAACTATCGAAGAGGAAACCAATTGCTTTGTCACCTAAATTAGTAGGTTGAGGTTTTGTTCCATCCACTTTACACATGACTATATATTCCCAGAACTACCTGTTTATCAATCTCCTGCCTCCATTAGCTGCAAAACTCTAATGTATCTACAAAACCATGGGTTAAATGTCTTCCTCAATCTCCCCAACCCTGTTCCACACCCACCTTAGCCTTACACTTTCCCACAACCCCACTGAGCCATTCTTTACCCGTCTATGAAACTACTAATCACCATCCTTTTTGGCTCGCCGCCATAGCCATCACAAAAGGCCCATAAGCAGAGGTTGGATCATTGAACTACCCTGCTTATGTTTTAACCACAAATAGCGCATTGGCAGTGAAGACACAACACTAATAGAAAAAAAGTGAAACCAAAACAAAACAGCACACCAACAAGAATATCGAAGCATAAGGAAATAGAGGCGACGACGAGCCCTAAGAGTCTAAGACCATCAACAACAAAAACCCTAAAGTTTTGTAACTAAATTACTCAGGACAAACGCTTACAATGATACGGCCTTCAATCCTAGCATCCTTCTGCTCAAACAGCCAAATCTGGATACGAGCTTTCTGCATCCAAAACAAACAATTAACTCAAATACTTGTATAAAGCAATTAACAAAAGATAAAAATATGATATAAAAAAATGGTATAACAATGAAATTGGGACTTACGCTTTGAAGAAACCTGAAAATCAGGTTCTGAAAGATTCGAAAGTTGGCGAAAAAAATAGCGAATCATGGGGGAAAAAAAGGAGAAACAATTAGATGATTTATTAGACTAGAAAAATACGGAGTAAGAAGAAAATGTATGAAAATGGAAGTGAACTTACGATAGGCTGGGTCATAATCCTCTGAACTTTGGTGCTCGCCATTGTTGCTGCTTAGAAATTGAAATTTGCTGCAGATTTGCGAAAATTGATTTTGCTGCTAAAACCCTAATTAGCGAATTTGAGAAAGAAGACGACGAAGAAGAAAACCCTGCTATAGAGTGGTGAGTTGAGTTGATATAATCATATAATTTAAACCTCTGAATCTCGAATATTCGACCCGATACGGAACCTAATATGAAACAGACCCGAACCCGTTTGTATCTAAACTAATAAATCCGATTACCAAACTGACTCAAAAACCATCTTTCGTTGATCAAGTGACAGAGTTGTGCAAGTAATATTTTGGGATAATATAGGGTAAAGCCGAGTAATAAAACTTATGAATAGTTCAAAATTATGCCATTTACAGTAACCAAAACGTTTGAAATAATGAGAGCTTGTAATATAGTAAGGATGAATTGGTTGTGAATTGATGTTCTTCGATTTAAAATTAATTATTTTCGACGTATATCTTTCGCACTTTATCGTATATTCATATACGGATATGACCCAAATAAACAAACAATAAATAGATAGGTAAAGTTCTCATCACTAAACTCGTTTAATCAATTGAAAACTGAGCACTTCAAGTTTTGAACACGCATAACACAAACTTAATTGGATATAATCTATGCTAATCCAAAATATAGGTGGCCACAAGGCTTGTTGTAGATGCCATGAGCTGACTTTAGACCTTATTTTGAGCTAAAAATGATGAACCAAATCAATATGAAACTCCAAATGACCTAAACATGAGTAATTGAGACTAAAATCGAGCTCAACAAATTAGAAAGTTTACCTTTTACCCAACCCGAAAGTAAAATAGACTATAATTGTTCAAGCCAACCTCAATTGACATCAATCAAACCAAAATTCAATTTGATATAGAAAATGGCACAGATTGGGTCGTGATTTATAAACACAAATATGAGCAACATATTTACAAGGAGTAGTAATTTTGACAATTTAAAGAGAAGATACCCTTAGTCCCTTATTGGTCATTTCATTGTCAAACTCGTCATGATAGGGCTTTGATGTGACTCATAATGTATATAAGAAATGTATCATAGCTGTGAATATAACCACAAATAATCAGCCATTAAATAACTTCATATATGATGTATCATTTACTATTAACGATTTAAATATACTCGTAATTTGTCACAACAAACCCAATAAAACATTTTATCGTGTCAACCGATTGATCAAATTTAACAAGTACTTCGTATGCCTTATTATCTTTTTGAAAACGACATGATTATTTTCATGAAAAGGACAATGTCAAATATCATCCTTGTATCATAGACTCATAGCCATGCAATTAGGAAACACAGTATAAGTGTTCAACTATCACCCAACAAAATCGCAATTTGCAAGATTGAAGAAATGTGCACAAACGACCCATGTGAATTTATGAAGAGACAATTTAAGGTCCTTACCTTAGATGTGATATTTTAATGTCGGTTGTTCTACTTAATTAGCTATAATTATGGATCATATAAGATAAAAAAATCAACATGAATTTTAATATAATCCAATGCCACGTCTAATATTTTGCATGAAGGTTTGCCTAAAATTGGAGATTAATTGAAAAGAGTCCACAAATTGTGACTTATTTAGGCCTTAATCTCGTGGTAATGTTAAGCTTATTGTCCTGCTGTTATTATAGAGGTTGTAAGGTTTGCTTCCTGGGACACAACAATACTCGACAACCCCCTTAATTTCTGAGGCCCACTCTCGTAAGAATTCAATCTTTGACAAATTATTATTAGGAACATATTGTCTTAGAGACTCATAACTGTTTTAATCATGCATGTGGGGAATAAATGTACGGGTTCAATGGAGAATACTAAAAGTGTTTGAATCAACTAGTAAGAGAGTTGTAATTTAAGTTAGAGCTTTTGAGTTTAAATTTTGATAATGTAACAGTAGTTAGTAGTATAGCATTTGTAAGGAGAGTTTTTTTAATTGGGACTTGACTTGATTTGAATCTAAATTAGTTAAAGTCTAGCAGATGATACGTTTTTGTCATCATATATATCACTAAGGTTATGTTGGAGAAGAGAGTCTGCCCTAATACAAAATCTCATTATAATTTTATCCTATAACTCATTGTTTATTTCGTGGTAATAAGTAGAATAGTCCATCAAACTTATACTTGTATATATATGTAAGTCATCCTTATTTTAATATAATTTTTTTAAATGTAAGACAATCAATCCCAACTCACACTCAGTTCTCAATAATAGTAAATTAGCAACAATATTTGGTATAAAAAGTTGTAATACATACATATATATACATACATATATATACATACATACATACATATATATATATACATATATATATACATACATATATACATATATATATATATATATATATATATATATATATTTGATCTTACTATAGCTTTTTTAAACATGTATGTAATTAAAAATAAATCACAATCCTAACTTTTTGTCTATGATGAGTATTAAGTTTATTTTCATCACTTCCTTAGTTCTCCTTGCAAATAGTAGCCAATTAGCCATGACCTGTTTTTAAGAGATCCAGTCTTCATTGTTAATTAATTTCATCGTCCCTATTTGTTCTTCATCATCTCTATTTATTCTCCCTAATATTTTTCAGTACGAGGTTTTCCCCTAATATTTATTTAGTATGAGGATTAGCTGTCTACTGAGATAATATGAGAATATTTGCCGTGCCTTTCTCATTGATTAATCATCAATATATATACAAGCGTATTCTAGGGTAATGACTAAGGATACATAAGTAATTTACAAACTAACATACACAAGATTATTTACATAATCTAACACACCCCCGCAGTCGAAACAGGAGGACTACAAACGCTAAGACTGTCCCTGAAATCATTAAATAAAATTTTCGGCAGACCTTTAGTGAAAATGTTTGCAATCTGGTATCGGGACGGAACATGTAGTACACAGACCTCACCGCGCTGTACCTTCTCATGAACAAAGTGAATATCCAATTCAATGTGTTTTGTGCGTTGATGTTGAACATGATTGCCTGAGAGATAGATACACTCACGTTGTCATAATATACCAATGTAGCTTTAGAGACCGGACAATGTAGCTCTAGTAATAAATCCCGAATCCAACATGACTCAGAGACAACATTAGCAACCCCTTTGTATTCTGCTTTTGCACTAGACTTCGACAAAGTAGGTTGTCATTTTGAGGACCAAGAGATCAAATCATCACCAAGAAAATACGGTAACCGGATGTGGAACGACGAGTGTCAGGGCAGCCGGCCTAGTCGGCATCCGTGTAAGACAAGATAGAGGTGATAGATGATTTATACAAGCGTAATCCAAAATCGGTCATACCTTGAATATAACGCAGAATGTGTTTCATAGCATCCATATGAGCAACTCTGGGAGAATGCATAAATAAGCACACCTGTTGAACCGCATATGAAATCTCAGGTCGAGTGAAAGTGAGGTATTGTAGAGCACCACACAATCGATGATACATGGTCGGATCCGCATATAGATCACCAGAGTCTGTGCGCATTTCCCCTTTAGAATTAACTGGAGTGGGAGAAGAATTGCAGTTAGCCATGCCTGCAGACTCTAGGATTTCCTTCGCATACTTAATCATCAATATATATACAAGCGTATTCTAGGGCTAATGACTAAGAATACATAAGTAATTTACAAACTAATGTACACAAGATTATTTACATAATCTAACATCTACACGTCTCATTTTCTCCACTTTTCATTCATAAAAACCAAGCTATACAATATCGTACTTCAAATCCAGTGGATTGGATGCTATAAGGACTAGGACACACATACATAAAGCGACACTGTATTAAATATGTGGTACATATTTACATGCACTTGTATTCATGATTACCTGCGCTATGGTCCTTATGTATATGATACTAATGATTTAGCTAGTATTCGTAAAATTTTTGTAGGGTAATAATATCGAATCCTTGAAATCAAATCCCGTTTTGATGTTTGAGACACAGGAATATGTTTTATACTTTATCACGCTCCCTCTCATAAAACTCTTTTGGGCTTGAAATGTGGATGCAACATGAGCCCTCCGCATTCCCTAGTGCAAAATATTACAATTTGAAAGGAAGGTGGATGAGATTTGAACCCATGACCTTTGTGTCACGCTAGCTCGATACCATGTTAAAAGACCAATTCAATCAAAAACTTAAGCTTATGGTTTAAACACATGAATATGTTTTTATACTCTATCATAGACATTTGCATATACTCCATTTCTAAATGATAAGTCTTAAAAATGTTAATTAATTTCAAACATGTAACTGATCGGAAATTGTGGAAAAACTGAAGATTGTATTAATGGTAATTTTAATTGATATGGATTCAAAAATGCATGTGATAATTACGATGACATTCATACGTTTAGAAAAAAAAAAGTGTTGGTTTGCCTTGTATAATTGTATATTATGATTCTAGGGTGGGAATTTGGTTTGGCGGTTCGGTTGGACCTCGGTGTGAGTCGGTTTCGGTTTGGAGCGGTTCGGGTTGAAACGATTTGATTTAGCTGACGGGTCGGTTCAGTTCGGTTTCGGTTAGTCACGGGTCGGTTCGGTTTCAGTTTATTTCTTTACGGTTTAAATTCGGTTTGGGTCATAAGCGGGTCGGTTTATAAACAATTCGGATCACCCCGGTTCAGTTTGAAACGGATCGGTTTAGGGGGCGGGTTTACCCAGGTTGATGACGGTTCGGTTTACAAACAGTTTGGATCATGCCGGTTTGGTTTGAAACGGGTCGATTTAGGGGCGGGTTTACCCTGGTCACTGTTGGTTCGGTTTATAAACGGTACGGATCATGTCGGTTCGGTTTGAAATGGGCCGGTTTAGGGGCGGGTTTACCCAGTCCAATGTCGGTTCGGTTTATAAACGGTTCGGATCATGCCGGTTCGGTTTATAAGCGGTTTGGGTCATGAATTCATGAATCATGATTTTTTTAAAGATCGCGTCATGACCATGATTTAATGAGTTGATACTTAGAATACAATAAATCGATAATTAAGGAAGTACAAGTACTCAATTAGATCGATCAACAAATGTTTTAAATTTTTAAGTTTTAACATATATGTTTATCGATTATACGTACATAGTTACATAGTTA